TATACAACATTCTGCTTCCATATATATCTGCACACCAAAAGAGGGCACCAGATCTCATAATGGATGGTTGTGAGCCACCATGTGGTTGCTGGGAATTGAACTCAGGACCTCTGGAAGAGCAGTCAGTGCTCTTAACCTCTGAGCCATCTCTCCAGCCCAAGTTCTAAGTATTTTGTTATTAATTTTTGGGTTTTGTTTTGTCTGGTTTGGGGGGGTTGTTTTTGTTTTGGGTTTTTTGGTTGCTTTTGTGATTGTTGTTGTTGTTGTTGTTGTTGTTTGGGAATATTGTTTTTTTAAGGAGTCCAGGCAGACCTAGAACTCACTGTGTAGCATAGCAGGCATGGTGGCACACATCTTTAATCCTGGCACTTGGCACTCAGGAGGCAGATACAGGTGGATCTCTCTGAGTTCTGGCTAGCTTGATCTACTGAGTGAGTTATCATAAAGAGACCCTGTCTCCTGGAGAGCAGAAAGGGGATGGGATAGGGGGCTGGTGGGAGACAGGGGAGGAGGATTGACATATAAAACAAGTTTGTTTCTAATTTAAGTTTAAAAAAAAAAAAGGAAAAAAAAGGCCCTGTCTCAAAAAAAAAAAAAAAAAAAGCAAAGAAAAGAAAAAACTATGTATCCAAGGCTAACCTTGAACTCCTAACCTTCCTGCTCCACCTCCTGTGTGATGTGTCTGCAGGCATGGGCCATAACACCTAGTATTTCAGTAAAAGGCTATTGTCAGGCTAAGAACATTCCATTCTATATCTAGTTACCCAGAGATTTCATCAAATATGAACATACAAATAAGATGCCAGTGAGGTCCTCTTTTCTGGCTGGAACTATGCAGGCTTCACAGAGGAGAAAAAGAATGTTCCTGCTGTGCCAGGCCTTTAGCAAAAGCAAAAGGATTTTGCAGAGTTGAAGGTCAAGTGCCTGTAAAAGAAATTTCCTCAAAGGTTGCTTCAAAAGACAAGGTGGGAGGGAGTTTACCATGGGGGGAGGGGGAAACCTAAGCACAGGGCTGGAGAGATGGCTCAGTGGTTAAGAGCTCTGGCTGCCCTTCCAGAGGACCTGGGTTCAATTCCCAGCACCCACATGATGACTCACAATTCTGGTTCTAGGGAATCTGATGACTTCTTCTGGCTTCCACAGACACCAGGCACACACATGGTACACACACACACACACACACACACACACACACACACACACAGGCAAATTACCCAGGCACACAAATTAAATTAAAAGAAAAAAGAAAAGAAAAGAAAGCCTAAGCGCTATCACAAGGGACACAGACAAGTGTACAGAATTGAGATTTGAAGGGCCAAGATGACAAGAAATGCTGATAGCGTCTACATACCTACTGAACCCAGACTGGCCTCTGTCACCAGAGGGTTAGGGTTACGGTTACGGTTAGGGTACCAGTCACGTGAGCCCAGAGGTCTGAGAAATGTCACAGCTTCTTCATTTGTGTTTGATCATCTTTATCCAGCTCAACAGTGCTCCAATCAAAAAGCTGAGAATTATGGAGCCACCCATTGCATGGGGTACTCCAACTGGAAGTCAGTAAACGAACTCATCTGCAAGCGGGGTTGCGGTAAACTCAATAAGCAAACTGCCTTGACAGATGCATCAGATTGCTTGGTTTCTGGGTAAATGTGCCATGGTCTTCACGGAGGATCTCGTTCATAAGATCTAGCTAGCCTGTTAGAAATGCTTCAAGGAACCAAGGAAATTACTGTGGCCCTGCCAGTTACTTTCTCCAGGAAGTGGAACAAAGAAAAAGGCAACATTGCAGAAGGTGGAGAGGCTGGCAGCCGGGAGGAGCAGGGCAGCAGGCTCCCGGGAAGGATGAACTAAGTATCTCCCACAGTGCTTTTGTAATCTGGTCAGTTAATTAACAATGGAGGAGCATGTCAGTGAAATACCCTACTAGATGCTAGAATGGCTATGGGCATGGCGGTGCATATGTGTAATCCCAGCACCTGAGTGGTAGAGGCAGGAGGAGGGATGGTTAAGGATAGCCTCAGCTATGTAGAAAGGAGGCTCCAGCACACACCTTCACACTGAAGGATGCCCCTGTGATGGGGAATGTACTTCTGTGTATGTTCATCTTATTGATTGTTGAATAAAGTACTGTTTGGCCAATGAGGCAGCAAGTTAGGCAGGACTAGGAGTCAAAGAGGATTCTGGGAAATGTAGTAAAGAAGTGGTGATCCAGGCAGGAAGTGACATAGGAGGGAGACTCATATTTAAGGAAGGACAAGCAGGAAATGGTCCCCTTTCCCCTCCTCTCTTCCTCCAGATTCTCTATGTGATCCTCCAGCAAGGGAGGACGCCAACGGAAGGTGTCAGATAAGATAAGTCCTTTAAAATATATAGATTTATGATAAATAAGACTGAGCTAACAGATGAGAATCCTAGTCATTGGCCAAGCATCATTTGTGCATAACAGAAGTCTCTGTGTACTATTTGGGGCCCTCACTCAGGTGGGCGGCTGTCGTAAAGCGCACACATGGCAGTGGCGCTCAGTGGCTTTTGGTGGAAAAATTTATCTTAACACCCCTGTGGACAGCAGTAAGCATGTGCCTGAGGTCTCTTGGTGCCCAGGTTCTATTCTATCTGCCCTGTCCAATTTGTCTTCCTGGGCTTCACTGGAGAACAAATTTCCTGATGGCAGAGCCCATGCTACGCTAACAGTTGCATCCGAGCTCCTGGATCCACACTGGCCTACGTGGACTCAGGAGAAGTTCACAGAGTAAAATACACAAGGCTGGGCTACACATGCCAGGCTGAGTCAAGTTAATCCGATCGTACAGTAGGTGCTTCTCGCCCCTGACCAATGGGAGGGCCGAATCAGCTACCTCCATCTACTATGCAGACATCTCGGCTCTCCCCAACTTTTACTTCTTGCTTAGAACCTTATGACAGCCTCTTAGCTGGTCAATTGGCATGTGTTCCCTGTACTCATCAAGACCATCAATGCTGCCCCTCCCATCTGTAGTTAGATACTCAGTCTTCCCTCTTAGGTCTACTGCCCCACCCCAACCCCCATCCCGTGCCTTTCTCCCATCCCATCACAATTACTGGCTGGTGGCATCCATGGGAGCCACTCCTCCCCCATATCTCAGACCGTGTTGGAGAGTCAAGCAACTGTGTCATCCCAGAAGCACTGCCCCCTCTGCCTTCCAAAGACCTTTCTGCCTCCCTTAGACGGTGCCCCATGGGAGAGGGGAACTCCTTATGGACAGGAAGTACTACTGACCCATCATGCTAAGAGAACTGACATTTGTGCTGAAAAGACTTTTCTCAATGAAAAGTGCCAGTGTTAAGTCCAATTAAGGGTGTCTGAAGTGGCCGCCCAGGCCAGAGGGTAGGGTATGGACTCCCAAAGAAGGTACCAGGACCTATAGCAATTGCGGGCCTTACAACAGGACACTCCAGCTGGGTGCAAACCCCAGTTCTCACAGTTAGCAAGAGTGGTCCCCATCGTGTGTGGTCTGTTTGCTCATCTTTAAAATGAGGGGAGGGATATAAAAATACCAGTCTGCAGAAAGTAGGTGCCCTTAAGGGGGTCCTTGTTTCAGGCCATGGTTGCAATGGGTGCCCCTGTCAACTCAAGGCTTCTGCTCAAGGGTTCCTCCCAGCCAGATGATGTACCCCTCCACCCTCTGACTGCTTTAGATGGTCCCAGTAGGTGACTCAGAAACTTTACCTCCCACACTGGAGGACCGAACCCTAGGACTCTGGGTCATTTCTGTAGCTGGGACTCTAATGCCAAGCTGCTCCTGATGCCAAGAAAGAGTCCCACACAGTGGGGACCATTCTGGCCTGTCCTCATCAGGCTTCGACAGGCTCTCTGGTGCCTGGCACCCCGGGAGACACATGTCTGTCTTTTAAGCAGAGGACTGTGAAAAGTAGACCCTGTCCTGCTCACCTTCATGGCCTCCCCACTGCTGCCCAGTAAAGGTGGTAGCTGAGGCAGGTAAGATGGAGGCAGGAGTGAGCCAAGGTTATCTGGGTTGAAGCATCAGCTGCTTCTCTCATCTCCTTACTTGTGAGAAACCAATCTATGGGGAAATGAAGCCAGGATGCGCCCAAGGTTGTAGAGCAGTGGTTCTCAACCTTCCTAATGCTGAGACTTTAATACAGCGCCTCATGTTACAGTGACCGCCAACTATAAAGTTCTTTTCCTTGCTACTTCATAACTGATTTTGCTGCCATTATGAATTGTAATGTAAATATGTTTCCAGATAGTTTCAGGTGACAACCAAAAGGGGTCACGACCCACAGGTTGAGAACCACTGATGTAGAAGCTTGACCTGGAGAGAGCAAAGAGCCACAGGACTTCATGTCATTCACAGGATGTGGAGAAGACGTTGGCCAGGCATTAGCCATTTCACATTCTACTGTGAGCCTGGATGCTTACTAACCTGTTAGCCCTGGGCCAGGCATTTCACTTGAGTTCCTGGCATCCAATAAATGTACACGGAGGTTACTTTCCTTTCCCATTTCTTACAGAGCCCGTGAAGAGCCCAGAAGCTAAGAAATCATGAACAGCCGTATAGACGCAAGAGGCTGGTGTACTAGTGTCTACTCCTGGGGAACACTGAGCCTTTCTAAGGGCCATCCCGGGACAAGAACCACAGACCCCAATCTCACCTGTGACACAATCCCACCTGCCCCACTCTGGGTGTTGGTGGCGCACACCTTTAATCTCAGCACTCGGGAGGCAG